TTTCACTGCCCTAAAACAGCTTTATCCCTTCCCCCAACCCTATCTTCTAATTCTTCTTCAATCACCTTTCTGCTTTGACAGCTTCAAATCATCCTTATGGGTGAATTGTTTAATAATAATGAAAACCACTATTTTCGGGCCCAGCTGTACGTGCCAGACTCTGCACTGAGTGCTTGGCATACATTATCTCATTTAGTTCCCAAATACCTCAAGAAGCGGGTTTTCTTTTCTGCATTTACTGATAAGACACTCAGCAAACTCACAACTTCACCTGACTCCGTGAATAAGGGGCGCAGTCCAGATTTCAACCTGGCTCCAGAGCTCATGCTTTCCACCGGGCTAGCATGCCTCTCACGCATCTGTGAAGTGTCGTTCTGCAGGGGAGCCTTCTATTTCCAGCCTAAAACATATCTTGTTTTCTCAAGAGATATGCAGACTAAAAGGAAAAGATTAACTTAGGTTTGCAGATTATTTTGAACACACCTGCAGATCTCATTCTCCATTCTGGACCAGGAAGCAGAATGAAAGACTCACGCAGAGCAGGTATCTAGTTGGTTAATGATCTGCATGGTCCTACTTATCCAAAAGCTTCTCAGTCAGTAAGAGTAGAGCGAGCCTTGTTTCATGAGCGTCCTGCCCATCCCCTACGTTTAATCAAAGAAATAAGAACACAAGTCACTTACACACCAAGATTAAACTCCCGTAAAATCAGCTAAGACTTGGCTGTAGAATCCTAGCCTGTTGTAGCTATGAAATCATAAAAACTTTCAGACCCCCAATTAGGAATACTGTTTCTCTTATCACCATAAAAAGACAGATTGTAAATTATGGGCAATTATATATCCATGGCAATTACCATGGACAACCTTTCCAACTGTGGCTTTTTCTTATGCTCATATATATTCTCTAATGCCATCTCTAATATTGAATACTATCGTAAATACAAAATAAGCTCCAAAGTGGTTTCTGCCCTCAAAGACCTAGATTCTCCTTGAAAAGAAAAGATTCATGAAGCAGTGAGGAGCAGGGAGGTATATATTAGAAGACAATAATAAAATCTTGGTAGAAGCTATAATTACAAGAAAAATTCAGAGAGACGATTTTTCTAAAATGGGCACCAAGAAAACTGAAAGAAGGTAGCCCTTAAATTTTGACTTTCAGGGATGGATAGTATTTAAACAGATATAAAGGAGTGGGGGTACCATTGGGAGCCAATTCTCTGTGGGTCTGTCACATTTCTGCTTCCTCGTAAGGGAAGACACTAACTGCCATTGTTTCAAACTATTTTTTCAAGGATGTTTGTCTAGCTGATCACTTGGGAGACAGAGATAGTGTCTTTCTCTGGGAGTGAGGAGTAGGGGTGCTAACTGCCCATTATAAAATATTCAGGTTCCTTAAGCTCAGGGTTCCTCTCCTATAATGCAGCCATTTATTGTATGGGCATCTCATCTCTATGTGACCCTGCAGGAAATGCAGCTCAGGACACTGGCGCACATGCTCATCACTCTGGCTACTGCTATTGCTCTGAGTCATGAAACCAAGACAGGCTACTTTGTCAGCCTACCAACAAGAGTAAAATACCAGACCCTCTGCAATTCCTAACAGGTATGTGGGAGGGAACGTCCAGAAAATAAAATTATTTTCTGGAGGGCAGGCCCCTTGTAGTACAGGCTTCCCCTGAGAGGTGAGAGTTCCAAGAACCCATATGTGTCGATGTACCAGCTGGCATTGTTGTGAGAGGCTGTGTTCTGCTTCAATGAATTTTTTTGAAGACTTTCAACGTGTTTGCCCATTTCATGATGGGTGATTTACGAGCACACTTGCCCACCCTTGCTGAGTGTTTAGTAGTTTTTGACCAAAAGCAGCATGACCCCATCTCCCACCCTCCCTATTCACCCCATCTTACCCCAAGCAATTATTTTTGTTTCCCCAGATAAAAAACTCTATTGGGCCCTGGCTGGTACAGTTCAGTGGATTGAGAGCAGGCTGCAAACCAAAGGGTCGCTGGTTCGAACCCCAGTCAGGGCACATGCCTGGGTTGCAGGCCAGGTCCCTGGTTGGGGGCCACATGAGAGGCAAGCACATATCGATGTTTCTTTCCCTCTCTTTCTCCCTCCCTTTCCCTCTCTGTGTCTGACCCACTGTGACTTACTGCTCAGAATAATGGGGGATGGAGGGAAGCACTAAAATGTTTGTATATTTCTTTTCAGTAAATTAAATTTAGACTTTACCAGCTACATTTGTTTCACTTGCCACGTTTGTCAGAGAGGTTCAGAACCAAACTGGACTCGGTCTTACTCACGTTGTTCTGAATGGTAAACAGAAGAAGTAGAAGACAATAGAAGTAGAACAGATTCTACTTCTCTCCAGCTGTGACCTTTACATGATATTTCCTCTGGTCTTGACTTTCTATTCATACATACTTGCATGTTTTTAATCTCATTTTCAGGCATGTGTGGATCTCTGGTGTCTCTTTTCAAATCTTTTCTGGAATAAGGTAGATTATTAGTTGGCCAATAATAGTTTGTTGATTGTTTAAATAAGTAAGTTTTGCTGAACCGATTAACTGCGTGCCCCAAATGTCACCTCCTTTCCTCCATATCCTTCCAAATGCAGAGGTGGAAATGCCAGTTGGGTGTGCACTGAGCTGGCAATGTAAGCACACTCCTCGGTTTCTAAATCCAGCACAATAATTTTCTGTTCATTTGATACATGAATCCAGGAGCTGAGAGAGAGGAAAAAGGAAATCACTGTGAAACAACTTAGGTTCTTCCTCCAAAAGCCCCAAAGAGTCACACGATTATGGAGAGAAAGGGCACCAGCCAGATTATGTCTAGAAACCATGATTGGCTCTACACAAAACTGTACAAAGGCTATGCTTGTAGATTACTTGACACATCCAGGCAGATGGCATCGTGTCAGTAACATGTCCTGCTAAACTGTCCTTTTCACCTCCAAGTCCACTTACAAGCATTATCAGAAATTTGTTGACACAAAGTACCACCTGGTTTAATTAAATTGAAATAATTCAAGGCAGGGAAGGGTGCCTGGACAATTGGAAGATGCTTTCCAAATGTTGTTCTTCCAATGGAAGTATGTGGGATCCGTAAAATAACAATAATTATTTAAGCACTATAAATCAAGCTAAAATACTTGTTTCCAGGAGTGTCCAGTAGAATGAACACCTTCCAGACTGAAGTCATCTCAACATAATACAGCTGTCTGGAACAACACTGGAATTTCTGTGTTTGTCTTTTTCTAATGGGAAAGCACCTTTTGAGGCAGGGGTGATACGTGAAATTTATAATATCACCTTTAAGAACCTGGGAAAAGGATAAATAAGAGGATGACTGTAATGCTTTGACAACGTGTTTAATGTTATGTCTAAGGATCTTCCCCAATGAAGCATGTAAACACAAGGCATGTGGGATTGAAGGGTATAAGACGTAGCAGCAGAAAGAAAACAACACTGTTTTTCACCGCAGTGTCGAGACACGAAAACAGAAGCTCCATCTGAATGTTTTCCCGTAATAGATAAGCTAAGGTTACACCGGTGTATGGTAGTAGTGCACTGCAGAGGTTAGGAGCCAGACTGCAGGACAGATTGTTGGGATCAGTCAGATCTGGCACCAAGTCAGCCGTCTTCCCGTAGTGAGGGATCCAGGGCGGGTGAGGAATTGCAAAGAACACAGGGTCTGAGAGCCATATGCAAAATCTCCTAGAAATTTTCTCAGGAGCATCAGAAATTCTAGACTGATAGCGTCAAGTTTGGGTGTGCAAGGAGAAAAGTGGCAGAGGGAAAGGTTCGTGACATTCACTGCCAGTTTCTGGAGCGAAGTACAGACTAACGTGTGTCGTTCCATCTGCCCATGCTCATCACTACTATAGGTCCTTACTGCCCATTCTGGGTTCATTAATTCAGAGCTGATGGGTTTTGTACGGACTTTCCACTTAGCAGAGTCAGACTACAGGATGGTTGCTTCTGCAGGTTGGGTGTAGGGAGAGGGGTGGGAAGTTCTCTATTTTCTGATCCTTCAGGACAATACAGAGTCGTGCCACGCCACAGGCTGCAAAGGCAGAAGGATTGTTTCATGGAAAGTGCAGCGGACCTGTGGTGCCTTGTGTACGTGCCAGTGATTATTTACTAAATCACATTTAATTGAGCTGCTCAGCAAGTGCTGTTTACTTTCAGACAACACATCTATTTGTTTCTTACAACTTGACAATTTCTTGTTTATGGTTAATGGTTCTTAACATTTTTACTATGATATATTGGTTTGCTTTGGTAAGATATGATTCTTGTACTGTATTTGTGCTTTATCCAAACAGAAAAAAAATCAGCAAAGTACAATAAAACCATACATATGTGGCCTTTAAATAGGTGGTTTTGAAACACTTAGGCTAGAGTTATAAAATTTAAGATCAATATAAACAAAATTATGTATCATAGATGTACTATGCAAGCAAGACTAAGTTATTTTCAGTGACATCGTGGTCATACAGTGTCTTGCTCACAGTAGGTGCTGAAATACATGATAGATGATTAGCTGGTGTTCCCACAGACTCCTACACCTGGGCCTTCACGGAGAGGCCATCCACGTTCACGAGAACCTGTGTGTTTCTGGAATCTGTAATTCCACTGCGGGAATGAAGAAACATGCTCTGTTTAGGAAATGAAATACTCATTGACCAGAGAGCAAGCTTTGGTGACCTTCATCAGGCTGTGTCTGTAGAAAACTCAGGGAGTTGTGTTTAGGTGACCAGACATAGTTTCCTAATTTCATTTTTATTTTCAATTAGTTTACTTTCAATATTATTTTGTATTGCTTTTAGGTGTACAGCATAGTGGTTAGACAATACTTTACAAAGTATCCCCTGACCCCCGATATTTCCAGTACTCACCCGGACCATGCAGTGTATAGCAATATTGTTGTTTATATTCCCTGTGCTGTATTTTACCTCCCTGTGACTATCTTGACTACCAATCTGTACTTCTTCATAAAAATACAGAATGCTTCCAGAATTTGTGTGTCCATCTTGCACAGGAGCTATGCTAATCTTCTTCGTATCGTTACAATTTTAGTATATGTGCTGCCAAAGTGACCAAAAGTTCTCTGTTTTTATAGGCGAGGAAAGTGTAATTCGAAATGTCATTTAAGGAAAATAATGTGAAAAGCATGGTAGGGGAGGTAGACTGAGGCTAAGTGCAAAAGATATTATGTGCCATGCAGGAGTCGGTGCCAGAAAGGCATAGAATGAATTCAAATAGGTGGTTGACACGGTCAGACTTTAGAACTGTCACTTTTCTGGTGTAGGATGGACCCTGCACTCCAGCCATATGTATTAGCGGTTCCCTGGAGCCTGTGCTCTCACATCCCCTTACCTCTGTAAATCTTTCCCTTGAGTAGGAATGGCCTCTCTTCCCTGTTCACCAGACTCATCCCTCCTGCAAATATCCATGCAGCACAGCCCTCGGGTTTCAGGCTCCCGGCAGTCAGTCTCTATTTCCTTTGTGCTCTCCCAGTAGCCACCCAAGTACAAAGATTGTTGGTGCATCTGATATTTCGATCAGACTGGGAGTTTTAAAAATGGGGACTGGGTCTTAGTTATATTTTTGAATTGAGAGTGCCCAGCATGGCTCCTGTACACGTATACAAGGTACTCAGAAGGTGCTCGTCACTACATATCAGCAACATTATAAAAGGGATAAAATGTTGCCTTCTCACCTCCTTGCTCTGTCTCTTGCGCACCTGGTACTGTCGCCTCACTCTGTCCTCAGTTGCCTTTGTCATGCCCAGAGTCCCTGATGTAAGCATCCACTGATGCCTGTTCCCACCCCTCTCACGGTCTAGAACTGTCCCCTTTCCACTGCCCCTCGAGACACTCTCGTTGTTTTCCAAGTACTAAAGCTGGTCACTGGCAAAACTAATTCATGTTCCATGGTAAATGATGCAGTTTTCCTTTTGAGAGATAGTTCTTACAGTCCCAAGGAAGGAACAGCTAATGGTTGGGTTTCAGGCACAGAGGCTGCCCAGCAGAGGCAGAAAAGGGAGGTATTTCTCTGTTACGCTGTACAGCTGCGTATCCCTAAAATCACATTCTGTAGGCAGCTGTTGACACAATCTACACGGGAACATATCAGAACTGGAAGCAAATTTTCAATTCACAGAAGTGTGGTTATTTCAGCACTGCTCCAACATATATATTTTTAAATGTGAATGTGAGGTTTTCCTTTTCTTTGTTTAATTTTTCTTAAATTTATTAGGGTGACATTGGTTAATAAAGTTATATAGGTTTCAGGTGTATAACTCTATAATACATCATCTGTCTATTGTATTGTGTGTTCACCACCCCGAGTCAAGTCCCCTTCCATCACCATTTATCCCCCTTTACTCTCTCCTACCTCCTCCCACCCCTTTTCCTCTGGTAATCAATCACTACACTGTTGTCTATGTCTGAGGTTTCTTAGTCTTCCCTTAATTCCTTCACCTTATTCACGTAAGCTGCCCAGTCCCCTTCCCCTCTGACAGCTGTCAGTCTGTTCTCTGTGTGAGTTTGCTTCTATTTTATTTGTTAGTTTGTTTTGTTCATTAGATTCCAGGTATAAGTGAAATCACATCATACTTGTCTTTCTGTCACTGGTTTATTTCACTTAGCATAATTTTCTCCAGGTCCATCCACACTGTCACAAAAGATGAGATTTCTTTCTTTTTTACAGCAAAGTATTATTCCATTGTGTAAATGTACCGGTGCTTTTTTTATCTACTCAGCTACTGATGGGCACTTGGTTTGCTTCCAAATCTTAACTATTGTAAATAATGCTGCAATGAACATTGGAGTGCATTTTTTAAATAACTGCTTTGAGTTTCTTCAGAAATATTCCCAGAATTAGAATTGCTGGGTCATAAGGAAGTTCTATTTTTAATTTTTTTAGGTGATTCTATGCTGCTTTCCACAGTGGCTACATCAATCTGCCCTTCCACCAACAGTGCGGGATGGTGCCCTTTTCTCCATATCCTGGCCAACATTTGTTGTTTGTTGACTTATTGGTGGTAGCTATTTTGACAGGTGTGAGGTGATATCTCACTGTGTTTTAATTTGCATCTTTTTGATGATTACTGGTGTTGAGCATTTTTTCATATGTCTATTGATGATCTGTATGTCCTCTTTGGAGAAGTGTCTATTCAGGTCATTTGCCCATTTTTATTATTGGATTGTTTGGTTTTTTGGTGTTGAGTTTTATAAGTTGTTTAATAGATTTTGGATATTACTTCCTTATCAGATGTGTCATTGGTGAATATGTTCTCCCATTTGGGGGGGTGTCTTTTGATTTTTACGGATGGTTTCCTTTGCTGTGCAAAAGCTTCTTAGTTTGCTGTGGTCCCATTTGTTTTTTACCCCCTTGGCTTCCCTTGGTGTGATTTATAGAAAAAACATATTCCTATGGGAAATGTTCAAGATTTTACTGCCTATGTTTTTCTTCTAGAATTTTTATGGTTTCGAGTCTAACATTTAAGTTTTTAATCAAAATAACTATAACCTTGTTGATTTTTTAGTGCTGAGAGGCTATCATCCTGTCACCAAAAAAATTAATTGCACACATCCACATGGGGGAATCTCAATAACATAATCAGTCAAAAAAGTCACAGGAGAATGTATCTGCTCTGATTCCATTTATTTAAAATTCAGAACAATCAAAATAAAATTACACATGGCTTATGGATGCATTCATCTGTAGCTAAGCCATATCGAAAAGCAAAGAAATGTTTAGCACAAAATTCAAGCAAGTAACTATATCCATGAAAGAGGCAGGGGCAGAAGGAAGGCTTAGCTTCTCAGATAAAGTCGTACCCTATTTTTTTTTAGCTAGACAATGGGTATTCATTATTATCCTCTAAACTGTACATGTCCTCTTTAAAATACATGACACATTTCATAACAACAAATGAAAATTAAGCACTCTGAAACCCTATACAAAGAAAATAATAACCCCAAACCCACCACACAGTTAACTATTAACCATCAAGACATCTTTCTTTTTCCACGTGTACATACACACACAACTCATATTCCATAAATGCTATTTAAAGCCTGCTTTTTAAAAATAATACACCACATGTATTGTTGTGAAATGAACTCCGTGACATATAATTGAGTGTTAAAAACATCGTGAGCTTACTAAGAACTCACACAAAGAGGAAAGTTCTCACCCAGCGTGATTAAATATACTCCCTTCAGATCTCCAGAATTCAACTGACAGGAGAATTTTCGATCTTCCAAACAAATTCCCAGAGAATGCCACGCAAAACTGACCTTTCCTAGGAGAGTAAACTTGGCTATACAATGTGTCTTTAACCCATAGTCAAAGCCAGACTTTTTCCACTTGTAAGCTAAATTCTTCTTTACCATAAAACGAATGTGCCAAAAATGATATTCATCATTCTCAACACAGAAAAAAATAACCATACTACATCACAGCCTATAAAATATTGAAAATGGAGGGGTGGCTTTCTCACTTCTGACATTCATGTCATGTGCAAGATGTAGGCATACGGCATTTAGGTTCTATTCTGTTAATAACAAAATTATTTTCATTGAAGACCCCAAATTCTGTCTCCATCATGGCAACATTTATGAATCCTAATTGCCTGTTACTACTATGTTAGTAAACCATTGTTCCAAAGTGACATGCCTTCTGGACCAAATTATTCCCATGTACAAACTACTTGCTAGCCAGGGCCTCAGTAAATATTTTCTATGAACTTGAATTTTTCAATACAGCAAGTCACAACTGGTAACCATACACTTCACACTCATGCCTTTCTATAAATGTTTTAGTTTGAAATAATAAATGCTTTTAAAAATACCTCCACTTTGATAGGAAAACCCTATTCACCTCACAGCTCATTCCCACTTTTTAGTAATTTTTCTCTCATCAAGTTGACTCAAATTGAAAACATATCACCAGGAACTGAGAGCCACATAACAGCCTGACAGAAGTTCCAGAGTTGGGGGTGAGGGGCCAATGAGTGGGACCTGGGAATTTGTGGAGAAAGGGATTTTTCTTATCAAAACATGATCAGGAGTTTGAAAACGTGCTCACAAAAATAATTTTGGCTGAAGCAATTCTGCGAGGCTCCAACTGCCCCCCAAACCATGCTTTTATCAGTCTGAAAGATTATAGAAGACTCCACACCTACAATTCAAGTTCCTCATTTCCTCCAAAGTAAATGAAATTGAATTTCTGTAAATATCGCTGTTTCAAAGGATTTTCCCTTTTTAAGTAAATGCCGTGTGCACAATTACTCCCAATTCATTGCAGTTTGTCATTCACACAGTAGGGGATGTCCAGGGCAAAGGTAACAGGCAGGCTTTATGGGATATTCCGTAAACACTGAGATCAGGGTGAGTAAAAATGTCTCACTGAAACCAAGAAAACTCTATTGAGGAATTGGAAATGGAACAAATTCACTGGACACAGGTGAGGAGCATAATATTTAGATGACGTTCTAGGCTCTATGCTGTTGTTTACATGAGTCTTTGTCAAGTGACACATTATCTAGAAAAATACAAGAGAGTTTGTCAAATCCATTTCTTTATATATTTTATTGATTATGCCATTACAGTTCTATTTCCCCCTTCTCATTCCCCTCCACCCTGCACACCCCCTCCCCCACCATTCCCCCCCTTTAGTTTATGACCACGTGTCTCAAGTTCTTTAGATTCTGTATTTCCCATACTATTCTTGCCCTCCCATCTATTTTCTATCTACTGTCTATGCTACTTATTTTCTGTACCTTCTCCCCCCTTCTCCTCCTCCTACTCCCCTGTTGCTAACCCTCCATGTGATCTTCATTTCTATGGTTCTGCTCCTGATCTAGCTGTCCTCTTAGTTTGTTTTTGTTTCAGGTGTGGTTCTTAATAATTGTGAGTTTGCTGTCCTTTCAATGTTCATCTTTTTTATCTTCTTTTTCTTAGGTAAGTTCCTTTAACATTTCATATAATAAGGGCTTGGTGATGATGAATGTCACAAACCAGCGACCTGGGTGGCCCCGCCCTGGTGAACACCTCCTCGTACATAACAGGCACAAACAGATCAAAACA